GCCCTCCCAGTCTGAAGAGGGAGAGGGTGCTCCGTGCCACCGGCAGCAGGGGATCCAGAGCTGCAGGCCAGCTAACGGCCTCTTCGGGGGACATGGTGACATGGAAGGGACTGGCGTTTGGCAAAGCCAACCTTCACCCCTCAGCTGCCACCGGCATCCTGCTCTGGTGGGCAGAGAATGAGCGGGGTGCTTCTTAGGCCAAACCTATCAAAGGCACCCGGGAGGCGAAGATGTCCCACTGAAACAAGTGAGGGAGCATCAGCGTCCCAGCTCCAGCTTTGAGCCCCTCAGCGAGGGGTGCAGAGGGGGCCCCCCCCCCCCCCCCGCCTCCCCCAGCCACAGTGCCCCGTCTGTATCTAGCTGTGTGGCACCAAGCGGGGAAGAGCCAGCAACGGGGGCTTCGTTTCCGACTTGAAGGGAACCTTCTCTCTGTACCCTGCTCCCAGAGGGAGGGAGGGAGGGAAGAAGAAGCAGAAGACGATCAGCAACCTTAGAAGAGAAACCCAGAGCTGCCCTCTGCTTTACGCTAAATGCGAACGCTGGGCACCATCAGCCCTTCTCCACCTGGAGAGGAGCAGGGAGCAGAGCCCTCACGTAGCAGAGAGCGGTCCTAGGGTGCAAAACCTCCCCAGGGAGCATCCCGCAGCAGCTGGTGGCGAGCGGTGCCCTCCGGCATCCCCTGGGCATCCCGCAGCCCCGCCAGCGGCCACAGCTTCCTCCCGCGCCCTCCAGACCCATCAGCAGAAATCCCCGGCATGCCAGCCGCATGATCCGCTTACCACTCCCACCACCAATAAAAATAAAAGGGAGGGCTCGGGCTGAACACGAACAGAATGTCAAACCCTCGGCCAGATTAAAATAAAAGGCACGAACCCTTTCGTACCTCCTCGAGCCTGCCCCTTTGACATTTCCAGGCGTGCCACAACACGCGCCGTCCCAGCGCGGCGCTGCCCACATGCCTCTCCTCTATTCTTATCCAAGACGAGGAGTGACCGACCCTTGGGGATCACAGGGCATGGAGCCACGGCCGTGACTCAGGCTCCCTGCTCCGCAGCTTGCCCGTCGCAGAGCAACGCGCCACGGCCCCGCGCTCCCCTCCCGCTGAGCCCTCACACCTGTACGCTTTGATATGAATCCACTGGTTGGTGTTGACCGGGACGGTGGACCGCAGGACGACTGGCTTGGAGCCGAGGTCGTAAGTCATCTGTACGAAGCCATCCACTATGGCGAGGGCAATGTAGTCCGATCGCTCCAGCCCCTTCCCGCTCCACAGGATCAGCCCCTGCGTGGCTTCTGTTTTGATGCTCAGTTCAAAGTGGTTCGACTGCAAGGCTTTCTCGCTGCACGGGGAGAGGGAGGCAGGGGAGAAGACAGAGCAGAGTTAAAAACGTGGCTACAAAAAGCAAGAGGCAGCCAGCCAGCTCCTGGGAGCAGCCTTCTCCCTTCCCAGCCACCCACTGAGGATAACCTTGGACCGACCTTCGGCGTCAGGCCACGCACGGGGTCTCAGTCCCTACCTGCTGCGTCCGCAGGGTCGCAGCCTCTGCGATATCCCAGGGCTGCTCAGAACGCCTGCCACGTGGCGGTGGGGAGCAGATGGAAAGCTCTGAACCAGGCCACGGGAATCAAAGAAACGGCCGGCCCTCTGGAGTTCTCCATCCCAGCTCCCGCTCCGAGTGGGACCAGCGCCAGCGCTGGATGCGGGCAGCTGAGCTTGGGAACACCACGAACGGAGCTTCTCCATCTCCCTGCCAACCTAAGCAGGGGCTACACAGTTTTTCTGGGGATGAAGTGTTTTCCCCAACATCCAGCTTGAACCTCCAAGGACGCAGCCTGGGGCTACTGCCCCTTGCTTCTGCCCCCCATGGAGCACAAGGTTCAGACACATCAACCCCTGCAGGCTGTGGCACAGGAGTCTTGGTTTTGCCTCCTCATATGCAGGCACTGAAGGAAGAGCTCTGTTACGCGGGCTGGTGAACAGCACCAGGCTGGCCCTCATCTGGCCAGCAGAAGGGTTTTCCCCATAGATCTGCCTTTGATTTGGGAGAGGTCAGGATAAAGAGGACTCTGTTGGCCAGATTGGGAGGGCTGTGGGCAGCAAAGCTGGGGTCGACACCATTTCACCATCCTGCTAGCGGGCGTCCGAGGTGCAAGCAGAGCTGGGGTGCCTGGGGACCACTGCTCCCCATGCCATCACCACACAGCCATCAGCCTCGGAGGCATTGGCTCTACACCGCCGCCTACGCTTGACCAAAGCCCAACCTGAGGCGATGAGCACCCTGCAGTTTGAAGGGGATGAGACTGTCCATGGAGGCAGAAAGCCTTCTTTCTCCTAGATGCCCTGTCTTTTCCCAAGGGAGGAAGGAAGGACAGGATTTCCCCCATATTGGCATCCCCATCTTTGCTCAGTCCCCTTTCGGAACAGGCAAAAGGCTCTTGGCAACTGGTGACGTTGCCATATGGAGTCGTCGTCCACTCTCCTGGGATGCTCTGAGACACGCTGCTGACACATGGGCACACACAGACCAGACAACACGGGCAACACAGACAGCTTTTTATTCCCAAGGGACGCTGTGTCCAAAGGGCTGGACGAAGGCTGTAGTGTCAAGGTCACCCAGCCTCTCCCCTCACCAGTGGCTATTTGCTGCCCAGGTCCCCCGGGAACGAGGGCCAGAGCTGGAGCTGCATAGGAGCTGCTGGTCCTATGCTGGAAGGACAGGGCTTCCTTTGTGTTTACTCTCATCACCTGCGGAGCTGCATCCCTTACAAATAAAAAGCCGAGGGTATGGACACACAGAACACGCACAGAGACAGAGAGACATGCTGAGGCGGTGACAGCAGAGCACGAGACACAAGAGCTGCAAGCCTGGCACAGACTCACCTGGGCTCCGCAGGATAGTCCAGCGCTTCAGGACTTAGATGCGGGAAGAAAGGGGAGCATGCCATAAGCGCAGGACAGCGGAGGAGACCCTTCCCTCCCACCCCACTCATGGACCAGCCCTGGCTCAACAGCGACAGCTCCTCACCCTACACAGTCCCCAAACTGAGAAAATCGCCCAGCACGAGCAGGAAGCCCCAGCCACTGTCCTCGAGGCTGAGTCTCCTCAAGCCACCGAGACAGGTTTGCAGGTTCTTTGCTTAGCCAGGGTGAGCGTAATCATAGAATCACAGAATCATAGGATGTTTTGGGTTGGAAGGGACCCCTAGAGGTCACCCAGCCCAACCCCCCTGCAGGAGCAGGGACACCTTTAACCAGATCAGGTTGCTCACACATCCCCCCTTGTCCTGTCCCAGCTGGCCCTACTAAAAAGCTTGTCCCCCCCTTTCCTCTGGGCCCCCTTGAAGCCCTGACCGGCCGCACTCAGCTCTGCCCGCAGCCTTCTCTTCTCCAGGCTGAACACCCCCAACTCTCCCAGCCTGGCCTCAGAGCAGAGGGGCTCCAGCCCTTGGATCATTTTGGTAGCCCTCCTCTGGCCCTGCTCCAACTAACATAACCGGCGTAATAACGCCGAGGAGTGCATTCGGCCCTGTCCCAGCGGCGCAGGGACTCTGCAATGCTCTGCTGGGTCAGGACCATCAGCGTCCCTGCTGGTCACCCAGGCTGCCCCACTGGGATGGGCAGCCCCGGACGGGACAGAGGGTAGCGCTGTGGGGAGAAGGAAGCTTTTGGTCCACAGCCGGGCGCCAGGACCCTTTGCCGGGCAGACCTGCTGGTGGGTCTCAGGCCGGGTCTTTGGGACACCGCGGCTGGCCAGATAGCTGAACTGTCACCTAAGGCCTCTGAGTCAGCCTCGGGGCACTCGGGCGGCAGGGCGTGCGTGGGGAAGGGGAAACCCAGGGCTACAGCTGTCCTGCTGGCACGGCCTGCCAGCGTCAAGGGCCACAGGCCCGGCATTACAATCAGCTCTAACTAGATGTATATATAAAAATGTATGTTCAAAACAAAAGTACGGACATGTCACGGCTGGCAGAGCCCAGAGAAGCAATCGGAGTGTTCTTCCTGCCCAAGGCACACCCCGGTGCCTGCCTGGAGACAGAAGAAACTACTTTTATGGGCAGCCCAATGGGTCCTTCAGCCCTGGCGGGGCTAGCAAGTGCCGCTGCCAAATCCCAGCGGGGGGATCTGGGGAGAAGTGCTAAGCTCCCTTGCAGGATGGGGCATGCACAGCCAAAATAGGCTGGCTCAGGCAGGGAGAAGGCTGGGAACAGTGACCTTCCCTTTGCAGGGCACTGGGAAGAGAGGCAGGACACAAAGGCAGCAGCCTCCCGTTCATCTGCGGGGACACGGCTCGTGTCTGTGCAGGGGGACAGAGCCGCGCACGCTGCCGCACTGCGCAGCCCGCTACACGCCTCTCCTTGCTGGAGGGCACTGTCTAGCTTAGGAGGACGCTTGGCTCCTAAAAAGCCCTTTCCAAAACACCAGAGCACCTCCCGAAGTGTGGTGAACATGCAGGTGATGGGCTCGGTGGCTCCCCAGGCGTTGACATGCATACATGCATGCAACCCGGCCTCTCTGTCTGACCCCGGCTTGTAGAAAATGAGATGGAATGGGGATGTGACAGGCAGGTATCACCCAAACTCTCCCCCCGCACGGTGGGGAATACAGCTGCATGAACCAGTGCTTCTCTTCCACTCCTGCTGCTCGGCAAGACAGACAGACAGACAGCAAATCCATGGCTGTCAAGCCCTGCTCTAGGGAAGAGGCCCTTCTCCCCAACTGCCTGCCCAGGCCCTGCTTCTGCCCCCCTGGCCACACCGCACCTCGAGAGGGGTTGCCCAGGCTGCGCACCCCTGTCTGGGGAACATTCTCCTAGCGCCCAGCCTGGCCTCCTCCCTACGGCAGCCACGCCACATTCATGCTGGAAAAAAATCACGGCAGGATCAGCACCCTTTCATTTCCATCGCCAATGCCTTTGCCGCTGCCAGAAGAGCTAAGTCACAAGAACTTTCTTCCCCTGTGCTTCTCTACTTAAACTAAGGCTAAGCTGCAGCTGGGACAACGTCTGGGCTTGCAGCAGAGCCAGGCAGCGTAGCTCCTGCTGCACCTTGGCTGTGTTTGGGCTCCTGTAGAGCCGCCGGAGCTGCGGTCGGTACCCGTGTCCTCCTCACCCTGAAACGGGCAGAGCCCTGGGGTAGTGCCCATATTCCTCCTCCCATGCCTGCCCTGCGCTCCCCCGCGGGTGGGCTGGTGGTCAGGGTGGCAATGGGAGACGTGGTGGAGGGCAGATGGCTGCAGGGAGGAGCTGGGCAGCGGGGAGGACTGTACTTACGCGGGGATCTCATTGCTCAGGTGGCTTGAAAACAAAGAAACAAGGACATTGAGAAGAGACGGACAGACAGAGACCGACAAACAACAGCTCAGCACGGATGCCCCCCCCCCCAGGAAGGGTGTTAGGGCAGGGAATCTGGGGGTGTAAGAGGCAGATGGACAGAGCCTTATCCAATTCCCAGAGCTGGGAATTAACCGCGGGGGCTGTAGGAGCACAGTGCTAAGGGCACTGAGCCAGACCGCCGCGGACCAAGAGTCTCCCGTAGGAGAAACAGCCAGCCCAGAGGCTGAAGAGGAGCTCAGTCAGCAGCCGTGTCCCGGGCTCTGCTTATCTTGAGAGCGAAGCCCCAGGGACCAGCCCAGCCACAGAGACCACAGGGTCCCAACATGCACCCCTAGCCCGTGGGGCCAGGGTCGAGCAGTTGCTGGAGGAGGCTAGGCAGGTCCCACGGCAGCGACGGCCTGTCCCTGCTGGCAGAACCGACCCTTTGCTGCACAAACAGCCAGGGAGGGAAAGGAGCTGGCAAACAGGCGTGAATTAAACCACAGGCAGAGCCACCTCTCCCCTCCGCACAGCTCACCCCTTCCTGAGCACGTGAGCAAGGAAAAGCACCGGCCGGGAGCAGGGCACATCAACCATCTTCGTGGGTTGCACTCAGCCGGCTTGGTCCCGCTCCCAAACCAGGCTATGCTAACCCAGAAGGTGGCCCACACGCTGCAGAACAAGAACATCCAGACCTGAAGCTGGCCAGGCGCCACTGTGGTGGGGAAAGCCTTCTGCCAACAAGGCAGCTTTATCGAGGCAAGGGCTGGAAGGGAGTGCTCATGGCCCCAGTTTGGCTTTGCCCCTCTTTGAGGGCTGCACTTGGACTTCTGCAACCCTAGGTCTTCCTCCTGCCAACAGCCCAAACTCCTTGGTTTGACCTCGGTTCAGCTCAGCGGCCAAGTTACCTCTTTGTCACGGCATTGTGGTACTCCATGTATGTCCTACCATCGAAAGCAACGGCCTCCGCATCTCCAGCAGCCTTCTCAATGATCACTGGAGGGGGGGGAAAAGAAGAGCTGTCAGGCAACATAGCACGGCCCGTCCGTCCTTCAGGACGAGGCAGATCCCGCTTTACAGTGGGCGTTCAGAACAGGACAAAGGCGTGCACAAACCCGCCATCCCCTGGAGCACGTCAGCACTCTAAGCAAGCCCCTGGAAAAGTTTTGCTGCTACTTTAAAGCCCCTGGGTTTGGCCCATCTCCCTGTTTCACAGCCGTAAAATCTACAGCCTTGTTGGCTTCCTGGCTGGAGCTGGGGAGGAACCTGGACTCGGTGGTGGCCCAAGCGCTAATCTTAGGGGGGGTGGCAGGAAAGCAACCCTGATCTGCTACAGCACCAAACCACGTTTCCCTGCCCCAGGCTGCTTCAGGCAATCACAGCGACAGAGAGAGGGTCGGAGCACAGCGACAGAAGGGGGTGGCAGGGCTGGGTGAGCCGCCCATGGGCAGCAGCGTTTGCCCTGCCACACGCAGCCCCAGCACCTGCGATTCTGAGACACGGCGTCGCCTCGGCTTCGCAGCTGCACAGCAGTGCCAGCCCCCAAATGCCCCAGCTTGGTTCTAGAATCATAGAACCATAGAATCGTCTAGTTGGAAAAGACCTTTAAGATCATACAGTCCAACTGTTCCCCTAACCCTGCCATCCCACCACTAAACCCTGGCCCTAAGCACCTCATCCATCCTTCTTTTAAATCCCTCCAGGGATGGGGACTCGACCACCTCCCTGGGCAGCCCATTCCAGAGCCTGACAGCCCTTTGGGGAAGGAATTTTTCCTAATGTCCAACCTAAATGATGTGCTCTGCAGAACCCATGCTCATGGGCAGGAGGCTGAAGGCAATCTGGCAGATTTAGCGCAGCCCTTGCCTCCTTATTCCCTGTCCCA